ATTCAAAAAGTCACACGTACAAAGCACACCAGCAAAAATTAAAGATAATACAAACAACACATTGACGGGATGCATAAGTACCGAACCACATCAAATGGATATCACCAAAAAAAAACCAGACCAAACAGTAAAAGAAGCTTGACTAATGGTGCAACAACTTTTTAACATTTAAAGCTGACGGAAAATCGACCTGGTCACCACAAATATTTTCATGTCATTCAATTTTCGTATGGTTAAACTTCAATAGTTTTGATAGTGTTTTGTTCAAATTGACTTTGCAATGTTATGTTATGTATTAATAGAACTCAACCAACCAATGTTATGTCAAACATTCATGGAATTTTATAAAACTTGTATATTTGTTTCTGATTGAATTAACTAGCTTTTTAGATACATTCTACGTTTTAAGGTTTAAGTTCAAACCTTTTTATAGTGTTGACGCTGATTCCTGATTTTAAATATAGATTATTTTGTTTAATACTGTGTGGGTCTTTGTCAATAAGTTTTTAAAGTAGTTCATTTACGGTGATTATCTAATCTGTCAACACTAATGTTGTGAATAAGGACATGTTTTTGGCAAGGCGAGTTAGGCTGAGATCTAAACAATTGACCAGGATGTATTTTCTTCCAGTCAAATTGGGTGGTTTTCTATTATAAATCCGGTTTTCTTCATCAAAAAATAATTGCCGACATAATATATTGAAAGTGCTAGAACAAATAGCGTCACACAGCAATCAACCAATCGATGAAATATAAGGTTATTTAAGCTACGATTTTCAATGAATTATTTCACTTCTCGTTTTGTCCTTTATCTTGTTTACTTTTGTTTTCTTAGATCATAAATGAACCAAGTGGTCCTCACTTTGTGCAATTTATCAATATTTCTAGCCAATGAAATCGGTAAGTCAATATATGATGATTTAGACACGTTTATTTTTTCTTCAAATAATAATCAATACTTAAAGCCATATTATGTAAACAGACCTGCTCAAATGGACGGCCGTTGATGTACACTCTCCGATGGTTACACAGTGATACTCATTTGGTGAAAGATACAAGTGCGTAGGGGTTATGGTAAAGTTCGATTGTCAAAATTGAATTTTATATTTACACTGAAAAGATTTAATATGAAGTCAGAACCACATTTAATCGTGGTGGTATATTTAATAGCATTTCATCTCGCATTCAGTATATAGTGGTCGGATTTCTGGTCAGGTCACATTAAAGATTTTAGAATTTAAGTTGTCTGATAACCTGCTAAGGACGCATAAATTTTGAATGAGAAAATTGACTGGATAAAATCAGAATCTTTATAATGGGTTCGATGCATCTATAAAATTGAGAACGGAAAGTGGGAATATGTCAAAGACAACAACCCGACAAAAGAGCTGCCAACAGAGCAGACAATAGTATTTATGTGGACTGCCACTTCGGTTATTGCATATAAAAAATGGTTTATTGTGTCTGTCTATATTTTCTAGTAGGAAGTGGGATTTCTTTCATTTGATTAAATTTAATTAGTTTTCGTCATGTCATAGCTTAATAAACATTGTTCACTTGTCGTATTTTCAACATCCACCAAATAAATCAAAACAATTTTAAGGTAATAAAACCCCAAAAAAGACTTTATGATTGGCTGCCTCTTTGCTTAGCATGAACATTAGTCGGGTACATTTTGGTTTAATTTTGCAAAGTAATACAAATTAAAAATCAGGTTTAGAGTGCCAGTCTATTAAAGAAACAATTATTCAGTAAATCTTAATATAATACATGACAATTTGTATTGTTATTGACATAACTATAAATAACAGTAGACTTATAGAGCTTTCAATTGTTGTAAACTATCCATCCTTAAGGATAAAAAAGACAGAATTATAATTCCGTTGTATAATATTCTAACAAAATCGAAAATATTGGCACCATCTTTTTATGCGACATTACATTTGGAAATTCTAAACTTAAATGTCTTCATTTTTATGTCAACCAATATATTCTGAGGTATGAACAGTACTCAATTATCAGACTTGTTTAATTTTAAATTTGAAATGTATCTTTTCAGAAATAAAAGGTCAACTTGGCTAATAGTCCCCGCATGCATATCGACCAAAAACTGCCATAAAATATTAGCATTGTCATTAGGTCCTGTCATTGTCGCTGTTGGTCAGTCATTGTTTAAGTTGCTCAGGTCACATTCTCGGAAGCTTTGAAAATAACTGTGTTATTTTCTTATGTTTGAATATCAAATGATGAAATTTTCATATATTTTAAATTTGAAATAAAACCTTGGATACATAAAATGTCATTAGCATTTTTGTTTTGGTCCTGTCATTTTACTGACACTGTCCTGTCACTGGTCCGGTCATTAGTGTTATCCACCATGCAGTAGTAAAAGTGCGTTAAATTTTTACAAACAAATTAAAGACGCGCCTTTTACGCGTTAACGCGTAGGTAAACGCCCATTTACTATGAACACAATTAGAAGACGCGCCTTTTTACCGTTAACGCGGAAGAAATCGTGGAAGTAAACGTTAGTTTAATTTTGTTGTCTAGTAAAATTTGGTGTAAACGCACAGTTAACGCGGCGTAAAAATTTTCCGCGCGTCTACATTTAATGCCTGGTCTGTCTCCAACTGTATCAATTGTTAAACTTGTAGACTAATATTTGATTATATTCCTACATTTCCAAATAATCTATTGAACAGTATTCAGAATTGTATTCTGTTTTGGTTATGCTATTATATTTTTATGTAATGGTACATTGACAGTATGATAAGTTCGTCCCTCCTTGGGATATCTACAGTGTAATTAAGCACATTATACATTTAAAACACACCAAAACTATAGTCCCAAGTTGCTTCTATAATGTTACAGCTGTGAAGAAAATGTGTGAGGGTTTCGTTTTCTGTTTTACATAAATGGCACTTACTATTATTGGATTTGCCCATTCTAAATAGGTTTTGCTCATTATATATACATGATATTATGTTATGAACAATTTTCCAGCTAATTCGATTTGCTTGCCTAGAAGACATAATGTTATTTAAATTTCCCTATATTTGTTTCCAAAGTAATTCCGATTGATACTGCATATTCCATTTTATTATATATTTTAGACTTATATCTAAATATAACGAATATTGAATCAAAGGAAATGAGACAGTTATAATAAAATAGTTTCACTCGTAAAGGCTCTAGAAAAAAATTCGTTTCAAGACGTTACATAACACGGAGCATTTTTTTTTTTTTTTTTTTTTTTTTTGAGTTGAAACATATGATCAAATTAAGGTTATGCAAAACGATACGTCAACAGCTTAGTAAGCTTAGGCGTAAGAAAATTGAAACTGGAAGTGCATGTCACATATTAGCCCATGGGTCAATACGGCTTTTTCCGACAATGTTTTTCAAATCATTTACAAATGAAGTGAGCGAGAACTGCGATTATCATTTATCGATATTTCGTTTCTTATTGGTAATTCTATTTTTGAAGGAGGATATTACTTTGATTCGATCCAACAGTATTTTAATTTTTTTTTTTAACTCATCAGGTTACTTATGCTCGTGTCTGTGGTGCCGTTTTGTGTCTCAATAACGTAAATGCGTATTTACTACGCTGTTATAAATAATAATAAATATATAATCATATTGTTTGTCATAGATCAGAGCGTTGGTTTTTTATTTTGATTTATTCAAAGTGTGTCATGTCGTGACCTTTTATATCATACTATTAAGTATGGATTTTTCATCGTTGAACGCTGTACGGTTATCAGTGATGCCCAAATACATGTTATTTCGACTGTGTTGGATAATTGTCTCAAAGGCAATCCTAAAATAATATCTCCTTATTTTTTATTTTGACAGAAATACATGTACCTCTTTCAATTAATCGAAATACTAAGAATGTTCTACCGTTAGGAATAGATGGTTAAACTTACCATGACGCAAGTTTTCGAAATATTTGGTTTCTAATGATCTTTCACCTCGTATTTATCTGAACATTTCAGATGATGAGTTTATTTCTCTGTGTGCCTTTAGATTGACACACATTTGACATAGAGATCGCAATTTATAAAGCAACACGATAGGTGCCACATGAAGAGCAGGATCTGTTAATCTTTCTAGAGTACCTGATATCACCCCGGGTTTTGTTTTGTCAAGCCTTTTATGTTGAACTGACTCTATTTTAAAAGAGTAAAATCCATTTTATTCCTTTTTATAATCTTTTTCAATGTTTACTATAAATGAATGCAGATTTCATAAAGAAACACACAATTTTTACAATATTCCATGTTTTTATTCTTAAAATTGATAAAACTTAAATTTAATGTTCGGGAAATTTCCCAAAATATATGAAAGTTTTAAAATATTAGTGGTAAATATGTATGTGACACTTGTTGTTTATCGGGAAATGTCCCGAAAATCATTTTCAACATTATTATTTATAACATATTAAAAATTGTTGGAAAAGCGTTTTGACAAACAGATCTGAAACACATTTCGGGAAAAATCCTGACAAAAATAAACTAAGTACAAAATGTATAACACAGATGTCTTCAAATATTTGGGGATTTATCCCGAAAATCTATGTATATGCTAGAACTCATGACTAATAATTTCTTTCACATTTCGTGAAAAATCCCGAAAATATAAATCTATTATCAGGCACACACTTGGTGCATAGTTTTTTTTTTACCCATTTCGGGAAAAATCCCGAAATAAAATCTACAAGCAAAAATTATGCTACAGATTTCTTAAACATATTGGGAAAAATCCTGAAAAACAAAATCTTTCAGATTTTACAACACAGAATTTTGATACATTTAGAAGGTTTTTATGTAAACATGAAATATAATGTTTGCTCTCTATTGCATCTCTTTTGCAACATGCTATATTTGACTAAGTGCATATTACAGGTTAAACATAGAAAATAAAATTCCATTAAAAAATCTTGTTTTAAAAATTATTTCTTAATTAAAAAGACTAAGATTGATGATTATGTATGGTATTTAATAATGCATATATATGCAATTACTACGCGGCAAGCGCTAGTTAACTAATAAACTCACATATAGAAATACAATCAGGACAATGTTTTATAAATAGTGGTTGCATTAAAAGGAGCTAAAAGGTACCAACAAGATTTGCAGGATGTATACATGCCTATACAAATAAGATGATATTGCATTATTACATTTATACCAAAAAGACACAATAATTTGAAAGATATCAGGAAGTATGCAGTCCTTTAAACTATGTTTGGCATTCTTTTCCTCTTGTTTATCTTCATATCTGTGTCTTTTAAGACTCAAGTCAATTTTTCCTCCAAGATTTCTATGTATCCTACAAAGAAAAGTCAATTCAAGTTCAATATTTTAAAGTCCTTCAGGCATATTATTCATGATTTTTTTTTCCGGCATATTTTGTTCTTTCTTATAATCATGATAATAGATGAATTTGTTATCACAGGTCCTTTCATAGCTTACTCATGTTACTGTATGTCATTTGTTTTGTTCAATAATTGAAGCCTTATCACACTGATGATATTTAAATTTAGTTCAGATTAGGGCAGTTGTCTCCTTAGCTATCATACTGCATCATTTTTTCTAATCTGGTGTTTTCATTTTTTGATATATATATATATATATATATATGTGTTACTTTACCGATTATTACCTACAAACAAATGGGGCAAACTGGAAAAGTTTTAAAAAATAAAACATTTTTTTTTTTACTTTTAGAGTTATCATTAGGATTAGCAATCATACTATAGATATCTTCTTCTTTTAAAGGGGGGCAAAGTTCTAATCCTATTAATTTAATTATGTTACTTTACCAATAATTGTCTAAAAACAAACAAGGCAAATTTAAATGGTTTTAAGAAAAATTTGTAAGGGTTCCAAAGAACACAGTGTAACGCCTGTGATTGCTGCTGTCACTGTAAAATTGACTTTCAAAGTGAGCACAATTTTACTTGAAAAGACTCAACATAATCTAGACTGTACTTAACTATACTTGACTTTGGTCTACAATTTAACCTAAAGAGTCTAAGAGTACTTGATAATCTTGGTAAAGTCAGAATATCGTCTTGTCAAATGCTCAACCAGTCCCGACCAGTCTCTACTTAGTCTTGACCCAGTCTCCACCTGTCTTGACCTTTAAATTTAGTCTTGACTGGTCTTAAATCAGTCCAACTATATCAATTATGTATTGAACAGGTTATTTTATAATATATGGTTTATTGCTTTCAAACTTAAGGATTTAATTTTAATAGGTATAAAAGCTACAATTTTTAGTTTGAACTAAATTTCAGGCAGTCAACTTTAAAAATTTCTATAACTATTTCAAATCAACTTGGATTTAAAAAAAATATCTAATTTAAAAGCTCACAATCATCATTTTTGCTTTTTAAAGTTTCTATTTTCCATAAAAAAAAACCAAACAAACCCATCACTGACAGGCAATAACTCAACTGATGATTTTGGCCATGTGACTTATATGTAGGTCTTATGGTGTTAATCATTTTTACTATTCAAAGTTTCCATCTCTTTACTATAGTTTTCAATAGGGCTAACAACAAAAAAGATGTGTTTTGATTGCCCTTCCAACCCTAATTTATCGGCTCCGACACCAAAAAAGTCAAAAATCGATGTTTAACAAAAAATTAAATGGGGAATGTGTCCATGGACCACAGATGATGCCCCCGCTTGCATATCATATAAAGTTATAAAGGGACATAACTGAAGAACAGTAAAAGTGACTTTATCAAAAACACTTGATCTGAGTTTAGTGGAAACAGGTATTGTGTATAAGTTCCATAAAATTTGGTTGATGCAAACTTAATTTAGAGAACGGAAACAAAAAAATCAGCAATTTTTCCATTTGCAAAGGGGCATAACTCTAGAAAATTAAGTGACAACTCCAAAATTCAAACTTGATCTGTATTTTGTGGTACATGTAATAAGTATTGTGTACAAGTTGCATAGCATTTGGTTGAGGCAAACTAAAGTTAGTGAATGGAAATGAAAAATTCAGCACTGTTTCAATTTGTGAAGGGGCATAATTCTAGAACAGTTAAAGTGACCCCCTAAAATTCAAACTTGATCTATATTTTGTGATTTATAAAAAGCATTGTGTATAAGTGTCATTGCATTTTGTTGAGGCAAACTAAAGTTAGAGAACGGAAACTATAAATATAAGCATCTTTTTCATTTGTAAAGGGCATACCTGCAGAACAATTAAAGTGATGCCCCCTTAATTCATACTTGATCTGTATTTTGTGGTAATACGCGTTGTGTATAAGTTTCATAGCATTTGGTTGAGGCAAACTAAAGTTAAAGAACGGAAACGAAAAATTCAGCAATTTTTTTGTTTGTAAAGGGGCATAACTCTAGAACGGTTAAACTAAATGACGCCACCAAAATTCAAACTTGATCTGTGTTTTGTGGTAATAATTAAGCATTGTGTATCAGTTTCATAACATTTGGGTGAGGCAAACTGAAGTTAGAGAACGGAAACCAACTTTGGGAAGTATGGAAAGACTTACGTACAGACAGACAAGGGTAAAACTACTGCGGGGGCATAACAAAGGTCTTCCTTATCATGTCCCTAATTTGCACTATTTGTGAACATGAATGCTAATAAACAACTGGCCAGCTAATGTGTGCTGGCAGTACGCTTGATTATACAAATGCAACATTCAAAAAAGAAGATGTGGTATAATTGCCAATGTGACAACTCTCCACAAGAGCCCAAATGACACAGAAATTAACAACTATGCCTGCTTTACTTATGATTGAAAATATGACGCTTTTACTACAATTATCACTTAAACTTGATCCATAAATGATCCATGAAAATAAAGGCATGGTCAGTTTAACCCGTCAGGCAAAAACAGCTTATAATCATTTCATACACAAATATAGTGGCCTTATTGCTTCATAAGTGTCTGAGAGACAGAGTATTTTATTTGTGAAACAGCACATTTTGTTAGACATAACATATTTTTGTACACATACAAATTTTCAAACTTACCTTTCAAATCTTCCCATATTTAGACTAAGAAAGACCTTGAACTTCACAGAGAATTAAATCAGAGACCTTTCTCTTCCTATTTGTCTAGGCTAACTGCATGTCCTATGGATATGTCAATCTGAAATAAGAACAGAATGACATAAGACTTCATGCTGAAAATGTTTATCATCCTTAGCTTTTTTTTTACACATGAACTGCTTGAAGGCACATTCATTAAAAATGGTGATTTGCACTAATGCAGGTGGATATTAGATTAATTTCTATGAAATTTTGTCTATGAAATCAGACCAGAGATATGATTTTCACCTAAATAGGTGGATATTGGATCAATTTCTATGAAATTATGTCTTTACTAAGAAAAAGAACAAAGTTGAAAATAGATATATATAATATACCATTCATTACAAATTATCATTCGAATTCTTAACATGCTTAAGCAGAAAACTTCAAAAAGTATTCAGGAAATACTGGCATCTTATTAAAACAGATTCTACAATAGGTGACAAATTCCATAAAAACCTATTAGTGAAACAGCTATAAAATAATTTATATGAACCTAATAGTTCCTTCTAATGTTTAACTGTGCAGAACTTATTAATGACATTAATGTAAACAACACATGTAAACTGGTATTCTTATGAAGACACTTCCTTACTATGAAAAACTTAATTCAACCATGGAAGTAAATGAAATATAATACTTCCATGATTCAAATAATTTAAAAACCAAAAAACCAAAAAAAAATTTTGGTAAAATATTCTTTCAAGGGCAATAACTGCTTTAAAGGATCAATTGTCAATTAAAATAAGGAAATAATGCAAGTCCTATTCCCAGATCGTGCTGAGGTTCTAAGTTTTGTATTTTATGTATGAATTCTGTCTTTCTCTGTTTTTCTCTTGATTATCCAAGTTTTTAATTTTGTACATTATTTGGCCTTTTAAACTTTTGTTATTCGGAAGTCACTTATGAGTCTTTTGCAGACGAACTCTTGTCTGACCTAAAAACAATTATTAGGGTATTTGTCATTTATGTGTTTATGGCTTGATTTATTAAGGTCTAGATAGGGGTTCTGTATATCTTTATCCTTTAATACATGTATATTGGATTGTTTTTCTTTAATCTTTTGTTAATTTTTTTTAATCTCTATTCTTTATATTTCAGCACACTATTATTCTCTAATATTTATTTTGGTTTCCTACTTTTCCCTGTTTATTTTTTTTTTTTACCTTTATTCTGCACATTTTGCCCGTTATTCTCTATTTTGTAAACCCCATCTAAAATCTCATCCACGTCAATTTTTTTTTCAAGTGGCATACTCATTATACTTGTATGCAAAATTCTTGAATTTTACATTGTAGGCAATTATCAACTCGTGAAATTCAGAAACTAATTCTTAATACATTTTTTTGCATTTAAATCAACAACAATAATGTGTCCATAACACACAGATGACCCACTGGTACTATCATTTTTATATGTTCAATGAACCATGAAATTGGGGTCAAAACTCTAATTTTTAAAATAAGAAAGATCATATCATAGGGAACATGTACTAAGTTTCAAGTTGATTGGACTTCAACTTCATCAAAAACTTAAACTTGAAGCCGGAAAGACGGATGGAGGAACAGACGCATACTCATGACTCATCAGAAAGCATAATGCCCAAAGGTGGGACATAAAACATCTATAGGCAAATATCCTTAGGTGACAGATTATTAAATTTATCACTAATGCATATATATATCAATATAAAAAGTTTTAATTGATATATTAGAATTTTTTTAAATTATAAAACATCCTTAGTTTCTGTATGTCTGTGGTATGCAGTGGCAGTACCAGAATTTTCAAAAGGGGCCCGCTCAAACTTGCTTCAGTGTTTCGATCCCTCAAAAAATTAATCAACCAAATTTTTTTCAAAAAGGGGTGCCCGGACCGGGTACTGCTATTTTGTATGTTGCGTGTTGCATGTAGATAAAGTTAATTTTTTTGTACATTAGGGAAGTCTTTTCTTTCTTTTTTGTTTTTTGATTGCTATTTCTATGACGTCATTCACAATTATATAACAATACCTTCATTACATGATAGATGAATGGTGGTTTGATTTTTTTTCTGTCATGAGAACAAATTTATGTATTTTATATATGTTTTTACCAGTGTCTGTAAATTTAACTTTTTTTTATGTTAAAGTAACAGAATCTGAAAAATGAAGGCTAAAAATTTTTAATATTCATTTGTTAAATTTACATGAGGTTTAATGTTATAACTGAATGTACATGAGTGATATTTATTCTGTACTATATTATGCTTGGTAATAAATGGACCAAACATGAAACTATATGATGACATACATATGTATATATATATAGTGTATCCTTCAATTCATTTGAAATTTTTAATTAACCTATCAACAAAAGTCATCAAAACTTGGATTCTAGAGACTGATCTATAGTAGTATTAATTAGATGATATGGGATAATTTGATAGAATTTTATGACCTGTTAACATGGTTAAGTATCTTCAATAACAGAGATTTTCTCTCAACATAGAGATTTTTATATTTGGCTTAAATAAATAAAAAAATTATCAAGCTAAAGGTGAAATGATCTCTTATAATTGAATTGATTCAAATTTCATATATACATATTTGTTATCTACAAATTCCATCATATATATACAAATAAATATAGTTAAAGAGAGACACATTCATTAGCATAGGCGTATCGAATGGAAGTAGCTAATCAGATGCGGATCCATTTTTTCCGAAAGGAGGACAGGCCTGCTTCATTTTTCTAATCTGTAAGTGTGGGGGTCTTTATCTTGGAAATCTGTATGAAATCAGGATTTTGGGGTCAAATTTGGTTCTGCCCTCTCCAACTTACAGTTAAAAAATGTAGCGGGCATGTCCCAGTCCCCCTCCCTTTTCGGAAAGTCATCACTATACATACTTAACTTTTTCACATTTTAACATTTAAAACAATATTGTTAATATTGACCAGGGCTTGGATACTTTCTAATATGAATCAATTTAAAAGTAGAATGTAGTTCCAGATCACACAACTTGAGGAACAGGATATAAAAACAACGAAATCATATAATATAGGGCTAGTAATGAGAGATGATTAGAGTTGATTCACAACCATGACAGCTGCACAATACATTAAATTTAACAGTCAATGGGTCAGTCTGCTAAAGTACATAAAAACAATTAATTAGTAATATCAACACTCCTGAAAATAGCAAATTATTGTCAGCAATTAAAAACTGATAAGAGATCAAATATAGTTTACACACTTAAGCTCAATGACAATATTTTAAACTTTAATTAAAGAACCTTAGTGAGCGACCTCACATACCCCACGTCCCCACATTGTCACTGGAGAAATAAAATAACTGTAAGAAAAAAAATTGTATAAAAAAAAAAAATTGAATTGTAATTTCCTGTCGATATGCACATCTACGTAGTATGTCCTTATTATCTGAAAAGGTTTCATGAAATTCTGTTGTGTGGTTTGAGAGGAGTTGCGATGACAAAAGGTTGCAGTAGTATAAGAGGGCAAATAAGTTCAAAGGGGCGTAACTCCTGGAAAATAATTGAATCGTAATTTCCTGTCGATATGCACATCTACGTAGTATGTCCTTTTTATCTGGAAAGGTTTCATAAAATTCTGTTGTGTGGTTTGAGAGGAGTTGCGATGACAAACTGTTGCAGTAGTACATTAAAGTCAATAAGTTCAAAGGGGTGTAACTCCTAGAAAAAAAAATTGAATCGTAATTTCCTGTCGATATGCACAACTACATAGTATGTCCTTATTATCTAAAAAGGTTTCGTGAAATTCTGTTGTATGGTTTGAGAGGAGTTGCGTTGACAAGAAATAGGACTGACGTACTGACGGACGGACAGACGGACGGACAGACAGATGGACAGACGGACAGACAGACGGGTCAAAAACATTATACCCTCCGCAACTCGTTGCGTGGGGTATAATAATATGAAAGACAGATATTGATAGAAGGCAGCAGACTCCATGATGTTAGTCAAAGACATTTTAAAGGGTGAATTTAAACGATGACTGATGAGAAATTTTACCAAAAATATTTGTATATATCCAAATTAAAATTCTTCCAATTTTACAAACAGTTTTTGTATATCCTAATTAAAAATTCTTCCAAGTTTACAAAAATTGTAAAAGAAATAATCGAAGATCAAGGTAACACGCAACACGCAACATGCAACATGCAACACACAACATGCATACTAGTCAATTTCGCCCAGGCCCACTAGCCCCATCCCCTTAATCCTCCTCAAAATAAAACTTTAAGCAGACCATACACAAAACAGAAAATATAAACTTATTATTGGCATAATAAGTATGAAATTATTACTTACAATATTTTTTTTCAAAATTCTTTCCCTGTAAGGCTGTATGTCATTATGAACATATAATACTGTGTATTCTAATCCTTCTTATGATTTCACTTTTATTTACACTAATAGACCTACTACCATTATACTTATAATTATGTCCATTGAATCAATGTGGTGAGTATATATATATATGTATAATATTTACTTGTGTTTTTATGTTTTTTAAGCATAATACACACAACATGTACAAGTAAATGTGACCTGTTTTTATCCAAAGACCTAGGAAGACATAAAATGAATTTCTCTTTTATCTCATTGGTTACTATATGGATTCATATTGATGTCATGACCTCATTACTTGGACATCATAAAATGTGTAGAGGAATATAAAATGTTGAAATTCATCAAGAATACACTACTCTTATTACTATCTTTATTACTATTGTTTTTGTGGTGATTTTGTGAAGAACCATGCAGTGGAGGAAAACAGTTCAAAGAAGAAAATGGCAAGTTAATTCACTTTGAAGTTTAGATACAGTAATATAAATTATATAAAAAGATAATTACAATGATTCTCTATCAAATATTTCTTTAAAAGTTCAACAACAGTGTGTTTGAAATTTACACATCATTCCCTAATTAATGCATAATGACTCTATACAAATGTAATTCTGTCTTGAAATAACTGGTTCAGGATAGTTTGAAGGGAATATTTTGTCACATATATATATATACATGTGTATACCTTCACTAGATGATTTGAATTATCTTGTGTATGTTTTTTTAATAGTTCTTTACTAAATTTTTTTTTGTATCTTATATTGCTGATCAATGAAGTCTGTTTAGTTTCTCTCTATCTTCATGATCTTATTTAGCTCTTGCTCCAAACACAAAAGAGTATTTTTTCTGATCATTTTTGCATTTTAAAGTTTCTCTCTATCTATTATAGTTTTCAAGATAATAGGCAAAATTGAAAAAAAAAAGTGGGAAAATTTGATTCTATTTCATGTATTTGGCCCAGTAGTTTCAGATTACAAAAATTTACGAAAAATCCTTAAAATAGACTATAACTCCTTAAGGGGTCAATTGACCATTTTGGTCATCTTGACCTAATTGTAGATCTTACTTTGCTGAACCTTATTGCTGTTTATAATGTATCTCTATCCATAATAATATTCAAGATAATAACCAAAAACTGCAAAATTTTCTTAAATTATTAATTCAGGAGCAGCAACCCAACAATTGGTTGTCTGATTTTTCCGTGAAAACTATTTTCCCCAATGATGTTTGTGGCCAAGTTTTGGTTAACTTTGGCCCAGTAGTTTCAGAGGAGAAGATTTTTGTAAAAGTTAACTGACGACAACGGACGATGACGACGGACCTCAAGTGACATGAAAAGCTCAGTTGGCCCTTTGGTCCAGGTGAGCTAATAAAAAAACTAACAAAAGTTTGTAACATTAGAGTTTTCACATCAAAATGTGCTTCAATGGTGACTTTCGATTTAATTGATTTTTACGATGGTGAATATACAGCTTTGATTATATCCAAGGTTAGACTAACTTGGCTAGAATAGTGGCATCATTTCAGTTAGTTTACATTTTAAAGTCCAGCAGTTCTTGTTATGTTATTATCATGATTATGTACCAAATGTATTTTAACTTTGAATAAATGCCTTTTTATTTACTTGCATTTAAAGCCTGGACATATTTTTTCAGGATTTAAGAATACATTTTTTATAATGACTGTTAACATCATTTCTAGATGACTTAGTCTACCTGGGCATTACCTTATTGACAAGGATTTAAGCTTAATGCCTAATTTCACTTATTGCCACTTACATATGAATAATATAAATACTTACATATATATATCATAAAGGTTTCTACTTCATACTAATAATTGGCATTGGCCTTTTAAACTTTTTTTATTTCAGCACTTTTAGGCATTAACAAAAACATATTTAAAATGTTGAAAATAAAAAATGAAAATGAAAGAGGATGCTGATTTTGTATAAACTGTTGACTACATGTATAAAGCATTGTAAAGACTATAGACTTGTTTTGTTTGCTAGTTAAGTATTTCAAAAGTTTGTCCTCCACTCAGTGTACCCTTGAGCCACTATACTGTGCTAAATCGCTAAAAATATCTTGTACCCAATTAACCTACTAGAATTTAATAGAACCATTAGATAAAATTTCATTTTCTGAAGAGGGTGTATAGAAATAAATGTATGAATTCTGATAATAATATATATGATCTTAGTATTGTGCCATATATCAAAATAGTTTCTCTATTACTTTCAATTCCCAGTAGACATGGTAGATGTCTTAATGTTACATTTTTTTGTATGTCCTATGGATTGAGGGATATCAATTTTAAATAAATTCAAGAGTACAATGGACTAAGCAAGTTGATTGTTTGACCACATAAATAACAAAGGCAGAAAATAGTAGATTTAACTTTTTGACCATAGTAAATAATTGATAAAGAAATCTAAAGAATAAAAGAAAAAGAGGAATCTAAGGCACTTACTCATGTTATTTTAGTAAATCAGCTGATTATGTTCTTACCAGCTGCACAAATGGTCAATCAATTAAAAGCAATAAATTTCTTCAGTTTAAGTGACCACAAATAATTGCTCCCAATCAAGCATTAAATTTCTCTGACCCTAAAATGTTGTGGAACAGTATCATTATAAATCACAGCTTTATTCTGTTAAGCTCCTGTATATTTAGCATGTCAGTTAATACATGAGATTTAATTATGCTCACTGAAATTAAAGTTATTGGAATAAACATAATGTAGGAAGAAAATATTTTAGTATATTTAGGAAATTTTCTACAAAAACCGTCACAGATACTGGACAAAAACTATAAAAAAAAATCCCATGAAAAAACAATAAGAAAATATAATAAAAACGCTTCGAAAACTAGTGCAAAGAATGAATAAGGTAGCTTTGTTACTCTAATAATACCAGTTGTTTCCGATTATTAGGGTTGATGATATGATGATATATTTCACTTTATTCATCTAATTGTAATTATAATAATTTGTATGTATATATTCAATAAAAATTTTGATAAATGTTTGTCTAAAATTAACCCCTATGGTACAAATACATATAGGGGCCAGTTAGTCCTAGACTGTATGTGTATACTCAAATGGTCTGACCGTACACATATGGTCCGACTGCACGAGTATATGTGTACGGTCCAAATACTCATATGGTCTGGAACATATATACAATATGAAGATTTGGATAAAGAGGTTTTATTACATTATATTCTTTGATGTATAGCCTGTACATGTAAGAATATTTAATCACATTAACAAAATCCCTCTGCCCTGATTACATGTTTCCCCTAGGTCTGTTAACCCAGAGTTCATTCACCCACAGAGTCTGTTCGCCCTAGGTCCGTTCTCCCTAGTACTTTTATTAAAACATATTGTTTAATGGGTATTAAATTTTAATAAACTTATTCATATGGTATAAATTCTGGAAATTTATGAAAAAACATGGAAATATTTAAAAGTTGTTGGCTTAAAATTTGTTTTAGAGCATTAATTGTTAAAAATGATAATTCTCACTGATTGTTGTAATGGATTTATAATAAAAACAACATTTTTTTTTGATAAACTAGCTATATAGTCAGCTTGGAATGAGTAACAAAAAATGATGTACCAATTTTAAAACTTGAAAAAGATATAAATTCATATTGTTATCAAATTGACTGATTAGAATTAATAAAATTGTTAACAAATATCAATAAGATAAGTCATGTAAGTACAATGTATTATAGTATTCTACTATGCAAATAAAAAATAATTTATATTTGTTTGCAGCAAATACATTTTACAAATATTGGGCGAATTTTTCAATAAACTTAAACATACTCTGTTCGAACAATAAATATTATTGATTATGCAACTAGACTATAATATAAAAAAATCAGGATGAAATTCGAAAAAAAACAGGACAGGAGTTTTGAGTAATCAAAAGGTGGGATGAGACACTTTGCCGAAAAAAAGGCAGGATGACTATTTACATGTATGTAAAAAAAAGTCAGGATAAACTAATGAACTAGTACACATTATTGTTTTGGGGCTAGCTGAAGCACTTAGCCTCCTGGTGCGGGATTTTCTCGCTATTTTGAAGACCCATTGGTGGCCTTCTGCTGGTTTCTGCTCTTTGGTAGGGTTGCTGTCTTTTTGACACATTCTCCATTTCCATTCTCAATTTCAAAACAAAAAAGGCAGGACCGAATAGAGTGAAAAATACATAACAACTAATAGAATGAAGGACAAAATTTTTCATCCTAGCCCCCCATGAAAACCAAATGGTAGGTCCCTTAGTTATCTATACCTTTCACCTCCCCCCCCCCCCCCCCCCCCCCCCCCCCAAAAAAAAAAGAAAAGAAACAAAGATTCAAAACAAAAAATCCAGTCCCCCTTTAAACGTAAATTGCTCTCACACTTGTTTTAACTAAATGTTTACCATATATATAAATTGAAATCATTTCAACAACAGGCTACTGTCGTACTGACAAGTTTTCATTCAGCATCTCTGCATCTTCAAGTTCAAGGTCACAACAAGTTTGTCTTACATGAACTGGTTCCCTGATTGCATTTGGATAACAGACGTTCTTCTATCGCACTGCAACTCAGGACTCTTGTAGAAGTTGAACTTTACCAGTTTGAAGGTGAGGATGTTTGTTCCATCCACAGAACTGTTACCCGTCACCTATTCTGTATTAAAATTCCACCTTTTTTTAGACGAACCACTTCGGTTTGGAAATCCTCTGGTTACCTGACAAGTATGGGGAAAATCTGGATTCCGAATATTTTTTGGTATCTGCTTGACCACAATAATGTCAACTGGTCAATGCTTATTAGATAGAGCAATAATTTCTCTTACACAGTTTAATAATACCAATTTAAAATTCAGAAATAAAGTTATTCATTAAATCAAGACTACCAAATATAGACCTATTCAAGTACACCTTTGCCTTTGGCTTTGGGTGTGTTTGACTTTGGATTGTATTTGATTTAAGGTTGTGTAGGACTCTTTGTAAACAATAAATGCTGGCATGGACATAATACTTGTAAGTGAGTTAAATTTTACAATGAAAATCTGTAATAGATCAAACTATAACAGATAAAAGTCTTTGTTTTTGTTTTTTTTTACAAAAATCTAGGCTTTACTTGCATACAATCCCTATTTTCTATTCACCTACATCTGATACAGGTATTTGGGGATTTGGAGCCCACTGTAAAAAAGTCTTTATTATTCTCCATAATTACTATTTTCTAAAATGTATTGACATATAACAAGTCTCAACAATCCATTACTAGTCATTTAAGTAACAATACCTTTTTTTACTATCAACCACCTTGACACTTTTTCACAGAAAATGTAAATATTTTAATTTGTCCGATGCTGTGAAAAAGTGTCCTTCAATTCATTATTTCATGATAAAGTACTATTAAATTCTGTCCTGCAAGGTTGATTTTCAATAAGAGGACCTTTTCACAGTAAATGGTGTTCTTTAAAGGGAGATCATTAAAAAGTCACTCACGTATTTTGGCTATATTAAATGTTCTATTACTAAAACAAACCAATCAAGAACCTGTTATAATTTGATAAAAACACCAAATGGAAGGTGTTAAATTCCAAAGCATATTCAATTATCTTAGCTATAAAGATGTCAACAAAAAGTATTCACCAGCATCAACTGTCACAACCCCTATATAAAGTACAAGAATACCAAATGAAGAAAGAACAGTATTTATGAGAAAATTCTTGAAAATTACATGATTGTTAGCTCGCCTTGACAGAGTAAAAAAGCGAGACATTATAGGTTTGCCGACGGCGGCAGTGGCGTCAACAATGTATTAGTTTGAGATTAGGTCTAGTTTATGGTGAAACACAAGTGGTAGGTCAATGATATTATTTGGTATGCAGTTGTATAAGCATTGGCATATCTCATTTCCATAGAGATTATTTGGCCCTGCCCCCTGAGTCATGGTCTATTGACCTTGAAAATTTTGCTTAGTTTTATACATGTATTAGTTTGTGATTAGGTCTGAGTCAGTTTATGGGGAACCACTAGTGGTACATTTGTAGGTCAATGATATTTGGTATGCAGTTGTATTAGCATAATGGCATATCTCATTTCCATGGAGATTATTTGGCCCCTTCCCCTCAGTCATGGTCTATTGACTTTGAAACATTTGCTTAGTTTATATGTATTAGTTTGTGATACTGATTAGATCAGTTTAAGATGAACTGCTAATGTTAAGTCAATGATATTTGGTATGCAAATTTATTGGCATAAATTTGCAAGTCTTGTTTCCATGGAGATTATAAAGCCCCACCCCCTCATCATGGTTCATTGACTTTGAAACTTTTACATAGTTTACCAAGTTAATGTTTGTGTTTATGTTTTTTTTAAGGGAATGACTTAGGTAAGTCAATTATATTTGGTATGCATAAAAAGAAGCTATTGTATAATTTAACATTAGCACATCTCATTTCCATGGAGATTATTCAGCCATGTACCTTCAGTCATGGTTCATTGACTTTGAATATTTTACATAACTTACATGTTAAAGTATTGCTATTTTAATTTCAACAATATTGCTTTATCAAAATTACAAAAAGGCAAGACATATCTCTGTGATAACAGTTTATGTAAATTGAAATAAAATACATGTGTATTTTTATCAACATTGTTCATATTTTTAAGTACTATTTAATATATTTCTGTTTTTGTGTGTATTAGTACATGTTTTATTGTATAATTCATGTTTAACTACACATGGTGATGGTCACATTTAGTATGAATTCACTACTCCAGTTTACATGCCATGTTTTAATAGAGACAAAACCTATATTCTAATTTTTAAACTTTAATTTAGATAAAGAATTGAAGCTATGTAAACATAGTAGGTATTGATAGTGGGCACTTTTTCTCTTGACATACTGTCCTTTCTATGAAGGACACTTTTTTCATATGAAATATTGTCCCTTCATTGAAGGACAATTTTTCACATCTGGACACAATTGTATACTATAGGCAAACATTGTTTGGACAATATTTCATAATAACATTAAGTCCGTGGACACAATTTACTGTGAAATAGTGTCTGGTGGACATAATTTCATGGCAGACAATATTAAATCCTATATATATGTTCTTTGAAAATTTCTTAATACATTGTTGGTCATCTAAAATGTGAGTCATATTTATATGTACTTGGGATCTTTTAAATGTTCAAAACTGTTCTATTTGCTTAAAAGTAATCTGAAGCAATTTCTAGACACGCTTCGATCATTAGGGTAAAAGCCTTGTAACATAAGGGTGTATCTCCTACTCGAGCCCCAGTTTATGAATGCATGTACATATCTTACCTTGGAGAGGAGGTTGATCTTACATTAGAGTCAGTCAGGGTAATTCCGTACACTTTTGGTCCTAAATGAAAGTCATTTGGTTCCCTGTTTAATAAACAAGCAAAATGTACAGTAATTACCTGGTCTGGGCACACAGTTATCGTCCTTTGATTTTCATTGTCCACGAATATAGTCCCTAACTAGTGTGGACAGGGTGTTACTTGCCAATTTTTTTTTATCCCCCTTCCAAATTTATTTCTTCATGTTTTATGTCTCAAATAGCAAGTTGGGGGATAAAATTACACTGTTAAAAAATTTGAATTATGAATTTTAAAGTAAAATAGTGATTTGTTCCAGCTGAAAAAGGTTAAAAATTAGCATTAATTTTGGAAGCTGTCAAGATTTCAAGACCCCCTTAACATAAAATTGTCCATATTTTGAGTTAGAGCTGATGAAGTTTTTCTATAATTTTTATATAATTTGTCCCAAAAGTTAAGTAGTACAACACACTGTAAAAATATTATTGAGAAAGCTCAGTTTGGATTTTTTTTATTTCCACTTATTGTCTAAAAGAAATGCACTACAAAAAAACTGTGTTCTCGGACCAATTGCTGTACGAAATTACCTGGATCGACTATAATCTTTATAGATTAATCAGTTAAGCTAATTCTTTTTTTTTCATTAATAAAAAAAATTCTACAGATGATTTAGTATACAACGTATATCTATTTCAAACAAACTAAGAATGTTTAAAATTAAAAAAATTCACAGAATCTAAATAACAAAAATTTTTAACTTTGCATTATTTGTTAAAGGGACAGTATAGACTCAGTTCATCATTATGATAGGAGCACATGTCCTGTGCATGCTGTGTATATAGTATAATAGATTTATTATGTCTTGTCTGTATCTTAATTTTGGTTAACTGCCTACTGGGAAAAAAATTATTACATGTTTACATTCCCAATTACTACTATTAGTCAATTATGTGTGAAAAATTTCAATTTCATGGGTTTATATCCCCCAGGATGTGAAACATCATTAGAATTTGTATAGATATAAATGAAGAGATATGAAAATGTTATCCTCAGTACTGTGTCAGTCACTTAATTAAAGACAATAAAAACATTAAATTAGGGTAATAAATATTCCCCCAAAAAATGAACATTGAGAAGTTCTGACTCTGATACACATTTCAATGATCAATTAATTCATCTTTTAATAATTAGATGTGAGGACATGATGGATAATTTTTAAACTCTTTCCTTACTTAGAAAAAGCATCTGGTTCCCTTCAGAGCACAAAATTTCAGGGGGAGGGTGCAGAGCCTATATATATTTACTGCTCTCCCGAATACTGATTTGTGAACATGTAAAAATAAGGCAGCTAATGCACTCATGTAACCTCAACAACGAAAGCGACAAATGAATAATTTTATTTACTTTTTGCAATTTCTCATTGATGTGATGTAAATTTTCTGTTAGAAAGTCACACGATTCTGTATTTAAACTAGTATGACAGTTACACAAGACTGTTTTATCTTATTTTTGCAGATTTTTTTTCTAGGTGTACAACTGTGCAAGTATTGAACATCAGCTTCAAATGCAATGTGATCTAAAAGACAACATAATAATGGACAGATGTAAGTAATGATCAAATAGTTAAAGATATGGGAATGTATGAAATTGTTTGAAAATGTCCACATGAAAGTAGATAATTATCATTTTTACTGTTCTGTTAAATGAGGGTTTGGATGAGGGGGTCCTTATTGTCTTTATTCTTTAAATATTAGACCATTTTTCTCTCTATTCATTATTTATTTTGCCCATTTATATTATCTCTATCATGTCTTAATAATTTACTGTATTTTTGTGCCCTATTATTCAATATTCTGTATTAATTTTCCAATATTCTCTATTCTTTATTTGTTTGCCCCTTTATTCTGCACATGTTTGTTCAATATTCTCTAATCTTTATTTGTTTGCCCCTTTATTCTGCACATGTTTGTTCAATATTCTCTATTCTTTATTTGTTTGCCCCTTTATTCTGCACATGTTTGTTCAATATTCTCTATTCTTTATTTGTTTGCCCCTTTATTCTGCACATGTTTGACTAATATCCTCTATTCTTTATTTGTTTGCCCCTTTATTCTGCACATGTTTGTTCAATATTCTCTATTCTTTATTTGTTTGCCCCTTTATTCTGCACATGTTTGACTAATATTCTCTATTCTTTATTTGTTTGCCCCTTTATTCTGCACATGTATGTCCAATATTCTCTATTCTTTATTTGTTTGCCCCTTTATTCTGCACATGTTTGTTCAATATTCTCTATTCTTTATTTGTTTGCCCCTTTATTCTGCACATGTTTGTTTAATATTCTCTATTCTTTATTTGTTTGCCCCTTTATTCTGCACATGTTTGTTTAATATTCTCTATTCTTTATTTGTTTGCCCCTTTATTCTGCACATGTTTGTTTAATATTCTCTATTCTTTATTTGTTTGCCCCTTTATTCTGCACATGTTTGTCCAATATTCTCTATTCTTTATTTGTTTGCCCCTTTATTCTGCACATGTTTGTTTAATATTCTCTATTCTTTATTTGTTTGCCCCTTTATTCTGCACATGTTTGTCCAATATTCTCTATTCTTTATTTGTTTGCCCCTTTATTCTGCACATGTTTGTCCAATATTCTCTATTCTTTATTTGTTTGCCCCTTTATTCTGCACATGTTTGTCCAATATTCTCTATTCTTTAAACCCTATCCATTCTTTCTCTCCATTACAGAGTTCTTGAAATCTTTTTTCTCCTGGTGGTCCTTGAGGGAAATACTGAAATTGTTCTTTGCAAATTTTGGTGGTAAAATTTTTTTAGACTTATATGTGATACAGAAACAAAACAACACAACTCAATATAAATATAAACATTAACAAAAGACTTCTGTAAACATGAATAATTTAAATTATGATCTTTCAATAGTATTTTAAACAAAGTGTATAACTCTGTATGTCCCCGCAACTAAAAGTTGGCGGGCATATTGTTTTACCCCTGTCCCTCCGTCTGTCAGTCAGCTATAGGTCACAGTACAGCCTTCAACAATGAGCAAAGCTCATACTGCATAGTCATATATAAAAGGCCCCAAAATTACAAATGTAAAACAATTCAATACAAAAGGCCTTATAAAAATACAAAAAAATTAACGAAAAACAAATATGTAACACAGCAACAAACGACAACCACTGATTGTCCAGGTTCCTAACTTGGGACAGGCAAAGAATGTGGCAGGGTTAAACATGTTAGCGGGGTTCCAAGCCCTCATAAATTCATATATTTTAGATATTCTCCTCAAGAAAATTGGATATATCAGAAATGTTATTAACATCAACACTTTTAAATGTTGTACTTAACTTTACTTGATTTATGCTTATAAATGATGTGGTATGATTACCAATGAGACAACTCTCCACAAGAGACCAAATGACACAGAAATTAACAACTATAGGTCACCGTACGGCCTTCAACAATGAGCAAAGCCCATACCACATAGCTATAAAAAGCCCCGAAATGACAAATGTAAAACAAGAAAACAAGAAAAATTACGGCCTAATTTATGTACATGTACAAAAAATGAACGTAAAACAAATATGTAACACATCAACAAACGACAACCACTGAATTACAGGCTCATGACTTGGAACAGGCACATACATTACATTTTACATTAATATTTTAATTTCCATATTGCTATAAAATCTATCATATGTTTTTTCTCATGGCAGCTCTAATATAAATAAAAAAATTTCTTTGGAGTGCATTATCTTCTTTATTTCTAAACACCTGTTGTACATCTTTTTTAGCTCACCGGGGCCCGAAGGGCCCCATGTGTGCTTATGCCATCACTTGGCGTCTGTCGTCTGTCGTCGTAAACTATTTCAAAAATCTTCTCCTCTGAAACTACTGGGCCAAATACCTTCAAACTTTAAATAAATGTTCCTTAGGGTATCTAGTTTATAAATTGTTGTACATCTTTTTTAGCTCACCTGGGCCCAAAGGGCCCCATGTGAGCTTATGCCATCACTTGGCGTCCGTCGTCTGTTGTCGTCGTCTGTCGTTGTAAACTATTTCAAAAATCTTCTCCTCTGAAACTACTGGGCTAAATGCCTTCAAACTTTAACTAAATGTTCCTTAGGGTATCTTGTTTATAAATTGTATCTGAAGTTTGTATCCATTGACAAACATGGCCGCCATGGCTAAAAATAGAACATAAGGGTCAAATGCAGTTTTTGGCTTATATCTCAAAAATTAAATCTTTTAGAGCAAATGTGACATGGGGTAAAATTGTTTAATTGGTCAAGATCTATCGGCCCTGAAATTATCAGACGAATCGAACAACCCATTGTTGGGTTGCTGCCACCGAATTTGTAGTTTTAACAAAATTTTGCAGTTTTTTTGTTATTATTTTGAATATTATTATAGATATATATAAACTGTAAGCAGCAATAATGTTCAGCAAAGTAAGATCTACAAAAAAGTTAATATGACCATAATTGTCAATTGACCCCTTAAGGAGTTATTGCCCTTTAAAGACAATTTTACACAAATTGTTCATCAAGTTTGCTAACATTTAAAAATCTTCTCCTCTGAAACTACTGGGCCAATTACCTTCAAACTTTAACTAAATGTTCCTTAGGGTATCTTGTTTATAAATTGTATCCGAAGCTTGTATCCATTGACAAACATGGCCGCCATGGCTAAAAATAGAACATAAGGGTCAAATGCAGTTTTTGGCTTATATCTCAAAAACTAAATCTTTTAGAGCAAATGTGACATGGGTAAAATTGCTTAATTGGTCAAGATCTATCGGCCCTGAAATTATCAGACGAATCGAACAACCCATTGTTGGGTTGCTGCCACCGAATTGGTAGTTTTAACAAAATTTTGCAGTTTTTTTGTTATAATTTTGAATATTATTATAGATATATATAAACTGTAAGCAGCAATAATGTTCAGCAAAGTATAAGATCTACAAAAAAGTTAATATGACCAAAATTGTCAATTGACCCCTTAAGGAGTTATTGCCCTTTAAAGCCAATTTTACACAATTTGTTCATCAAGTTTGCTAACATTTGAAAATCTTCTCCTCTGAAATACAGGTGAGCGATTCAGGCTCTTGAGAGCCTCTTGTTTTATTTATGCCTATTATCAGGAAAACTATGAAATTTAGAAACATTTTTTATGCCTCGCCGTAGCGGAGGGGGCATTAAGTTTTACTCTTGTCCGTCTGTCCCGTAGGTCCGATAATTGGTTTCCGTTCTCTAACTTTAGTTTGCCTATACCAAATGTTATGAAACTCATACACAATGCTTATTACCTTAAAACACAGACCAAGTATAAATTTGGGTAGTGTCACTTTTACCGTTCTAGAGTTATGCCCCTTTACAAATGGAAACATTGCTGAATTTTTTGTTTCCATTCTCTAACTTTAGTTTGCCTCAACCAAATGTTATGAAACCTATACACAATGCTTATTACCACAAAACTCAGATCAAGTTTGAATTTGGGTAGCGTCACTTTTACCGTTCTAGAGTTATCCCCCTCTACAAATGGAAATATTGCTGAATTTTTATACGCCCGTCAAATTTTTGACGGGACGTATTATGTTATACAAATGTCCGGCGTCCGTCCGTCTGTCTGTCCGTCTGTCCGTCTGTCTGTCCGGCGTAAACATGTCGCACCGTAACTTGAGAATGACTTATCCAAATTTCATGAAACTTAAGATAGTTGTTTCTTATGATGGTCAAACGATCTGTATACTTTTTGGTGAAAATAAGATTAAAACTTTTTGAGTTACGGGACTTAGTAACTAAAACAGGTGTGTGTTTTTTTTCACATGTCGCGCCGTATCTCAAAAACAATTTATGATTATTGCTTAAAACTTTACACACTTCTTAGTTATATTAATCTTAAGATCTGTATACTTTTTGGTGATGATTCAAAATTTTATTTTTGAGTTATTGAGTATTTTGTTAAAAAGGGGGAGGGGTTTTTCACATGTCGCGCCGTATCTCAAAAACAGTTTATGATTATTTCTTAAAACTTTACACACTTCTTAGTTATATTAACCTTAAGATCTGTATACTTTTTGGTTTTGATTCAAAATTTTATTTTTGAGTTATTGAGTATTTTGTAAAAAAAGGGGGAGGGTTTTTTCACATGTCGCGCCATATCTCAAAAACGATTTATGATTATTGCTTAAAATTTTACACACTTCTTAGTTATATTAATCTAAAGATCTGTATACTTTTTGGTTTTGATTCAAAATTTTATTTTATAGATATTGAGTTTTTTGTAAAAAAAAAAGGGGGTTTTTCGCATGTCACGCCGTATGTCAGAAACTATTTATGCTTATTGCATAAAAATTCACACACAAGACGACGGGCGTATCATGCGCTCATGGCGCAGCTGTTTATTCATTTCCTTTCTCACTTTAGTTTGCCTCAACCAAATGTTATGAAACCTATACACAATGCTTATTACCACAAAACTCAGATCAAGTTTGAATTTGGGTAGCGTCACTTTTACCGTTCTAGAGTTATCCCCCTCTACAAATGGAAATATTGCTGAATTTTTCATTTTCTTTCTCACTTTAGTTTGCCTCAACCAAATGTTATGAAACTTATGCACAATGCATATTACCACAAAACGCAGATCAAGTACAAATTTGGATAGCGTCACTTTAACAGATCTTGAATAATGTAAGAAAAGGCATGGCAAGATCTATTAAAAGTCAAATTCTGCCAATATAGTTAGTAGACTGTCACTCTTAACATGCTTAATAGGAGTGATTGCCCTTCAGTGAGGATTTTTGTTTACCCTCTTTTGTGTTTTGAGCAAGAACTAAAGAAGAAAGAGAGAAACTAAACAGACTAATTATAAAAGACCTGTAATAAAAGATCAACAAAATAGAGATTTTTGTCATGAAGTATATTCTTGTCTACAATGTTAGAGAGTGTCCTTTGTTTGATATGCACATAAACCAAGGTGAGTGACACAGGCTCTTTAGAGCCTCTTGTTTAGCTCACCTGGCCCAAAGGGCCGTCGTCGACCGTTAACTTTTACAAAAATCTTCTCCTCTGAAACTACTGGGCCAAATTTAACCAAACTTGGCCACAGTCAATCATCATTGGGGTATCTAGTTAAGAAAATGTGTCTGATGAATATTAAGGAAGAACAAAATGAAAATGATATTTTGATAAACATGTTGTTGTCGTGGTATTGTGCTCTCTTAAACCATCAGATTATTACTGTACGTACTGCAATAAAAAAAAACATGAATCAATATCAGGGAACTTGAAGTAATTGAAAACTAGTTCAAATCCCTAATTGCACTTTAGCTTTTCATTGCCTCAACCAAGTGTTATGAAACTTATACACAAACCAAGAAATTATCTGAATCTGGAATAATTTTGAATTCTGGAAAATTGATAAGAAATGTATGATGAAAACATACCCAACTAAATAGGGATAGCCATGCAAGGGTAATTTTACTTTCACTGTTCTTTCAGTATGAACTAACTAACCCCCCTTAGCCATGCGCGCATGGCTAACCCTATTTAGTTGGGTTAGTTTTCATCATAAATTTCGTTTCAATTTTCCAGAATTCAAAAAAATTCCAGATTCAAATAATTCCTTGTTCCAATGCTTATTAACATCAAACACTGATCAAGTCACTTTCATCATTCTCATATTATGTTACTTTATTAATAGAAAAAAAGGATAAATTAGAGATATATTTACAAGCAGGGACATCCGTGTCCCATGGACACATTCTTGTTTTATTTATTACATATTTTAGTGTATTAAAGTAATTATACTGCTTCCACCTTTCAAAATTCTAACAAAGCTCTATCTCTTGAATGGATAAATAAATGATACTAGTCGAGAACTCAACAGATAATTTTTTTTCAGGTTCTCTGGTCGTTAGTACTTGTTTGCCACACACATGAAGATATTGATCCTGCTTTCAGCTAAATATCAGAAAAATTAGGAACAAAGGAAAGGATGCTGAAACTGTACAGTCACCGGTCAGGATTGTTTCAGAAGTGAAATTATAATACAATATATGTTACTGGTTAATTCCTATGATTTGTAATTTTAAACAACACACATAGACTTTGCATTATTGTTTTACAAGAGAGACACCAAAAGATGCAGTCAACATTTATTATTTTTATCAAAATACACCCAGGACAAATCATGGGTACACTTAGCTTGAAATATGGTGCTTTCATACCAAAATTGCCTGGACGTAAAAGAAATAAAGAACCAAAATTCATGTCAGCAATCATGCAGGGGATAAGATGAAAGAATAAAGAATAAGGTACTGTCATATTCAGTCTTAATAAGAGTCCTGCTGCTTTATATGTATATGCATTTTGTTATGCCCCGTCGTAGCGGAGGAGGGCATTAAGTTTTATCCTTGTATGTTTGTACATAGATATAAGAAGATGTGGTATGAGTTCCAATGAGACTACTCTCCATCCAAGTCACAATTTGTAAAAGAAAAACCATTATAGGTCAAAGTACAGTCTTAAACACAGAGCCTTGGATCACACCGAACAGTAAGCTATTATTAATTTAAGGACCCCAAAAATGATTAGTGTGAAACCAGCTGTCAAATGGGAAAACCAACGGTCTAATCTATATAAAAAAAGAGAAACAAGAAACACTTATAGTGCGTGATTTTCTCGCTGTGTTGAAGACCTTATTCTTTGAAAAAGCGACGGAGGTATCATGTGCTCATGGCACAGCTGTTTATTCATTTTAGTTCACTATAAACTTAAGTTTGCTTAACCAAATGTTCTGAAACTTATACACAATGCTTATAACCACAAAACTCAGATCAAGTACTCATTTGGGTACTGTGTGTCACTTTTACCATTCTTGATTTATGACCCTTTAAAATGTTATATGCAAGCGGGGGCATAATCTGTGTCCCATGGACGCATTCCTCATTTATTTATTCACAGAATTTTGAAAGGAATAAATAATCCATGATGTTCACATAGATAAAACATATTGTTTCAAGAATTTTTACCTGTTTATTACAGATGAAACGCAACTCAACAACACAAAAAATAACTAAACAGCATAGATCTATGTAGTTTTGACCTATATTTATATAAAAATAAGGAGAAGGTGCATGATTGCCAATGAGACAACTATCCACCAAAGTTTGAATAAAGTGGATATAAGCAGTTATAGGTAACTGTACAGCCTTCTACAATGAGAAAAACTCATACTGTATAGTCCGCTATAAAAGGCCCTGATCAGAAAAAATATGAACAAAATCATTTTAGAAAACTAACGGCCTAATTTATATAATTTATTATAACAAAACAAGTAGCGAAAATCAAATATATAACATACATAAACCAACAACATCCATGGAAATACTGGCTCCTGACTTGGGACAGGCACATAAAGAATGTGGCAGGTTAAACAAGTTTTTGGTTGCTCATCCCTCCCCTAACCTGGGACAGTGGTGTTACAGCACAACATAAGAACAAACTATAAAAATCAGTTGAAGAGGTTTCATCATATTTTTATAGGTCAACTGTCTTGAAATGATCAACAAGTGATTGTAGAATTTAATAAACATCTCAATTGTCAATTGAATAACCAAAAACACACAAACATCTACTGTCAACACCAAATTCCCTGAAACAAAAGCTTTAAGGGGGCTCGCGGGTATATCTCAATATTTGTTTTTAAGGTGGTACCTAACACTACAGGGAGATAACTCTGTAAAAATCAGCTAAACGTTTTAATTACGTTGTATTGTTAAGGAAATATTAAGCTTCTCAATGATCAAAATTAGTGTTTGTCAAACTGCTATATAACCAATGAAATTTTTCTGATAAAGTGGTTGGTTCAAATTTTTTGAAATTTTTATATTTTTGTCAAAGGGTCAAAGTAAACATTTTGTCAAAATTTTATGAAAATTAAACGAGCCAAATTAATATTAGTCAAGGTGTTGGGTACCACCTTAAATATAGGATTTCACTATTTTTTTCTAGAAATAAACTTTATCCTATACTTAATAGAAAAATAAAATAAAAGTATAGGGTCACCGTTCATTTGAGCTCACAATCTGCCTTCGAAAGAAGCATGCATTTTTGTTAAGTTACTTTTTTTCTGTTGAACTAATAGGAGAAAAAAAGGGAATGTCGAAATAAAAAAAGAACTAAATTACAGAAATTGCTTAAATTTTAGAATAGTTTAGTACAGCTTATTTGAGTACAGCTTATTTGAAAAAAATAGTAAAAATATAGGTCACCGATGTGTTAAAAAAGATATTCAATTTTAATGCAAAAAAATTGCATTTTTTCATCAAAGGGAGATAATTTGGAGCTTTTTAAATGATATAAACAATTCAAAAGTCATCTGTGGTTAAAATGAATTGATTTTTTTGGTTGATTTTTGTACCATATTATAAAGTAACAACTAATAGTGTAAGAAATAAAAATTTGTAATGAAAAAAAAAAGTTTAAATTTTTGCTGAATTTTTATACCCTCAAGCCTCCTTAAGATACAACTTTAGGTAACAGGAACGGTCTTGACTTTGGAAAGCCACATGAAAACTCAATACTGCTCCCCTTTTAAATCTTGATCAGTATTTGTTAAATGAAAAAAAGTAACATAAAAGAATGCAGGTTGCCAGGAACATTCAATTGGAGAAAGGGAAAAGAACTCAACTCTACACTAAATAATTTTGAAAACTATTATTGGCTATACTATCTTTATTGATAAAAAATGTCAGAAAAGTAATGTACATTATGATCATGTTGATTGTGTGAAAAGTCACACAAGGTAATCAAAATGGTCAGAGGGGGAAAAGAAGTTTTGTTATAAATGTCAAATGTGATAGTCTCAACCTATCAACATGATCAAAATTGTTGATTTCACCATTGATATTTACATTTAGCATGTTCAGCGGAATAGCACGTTTTTGTTATATTTTACTAAATGTTATTTTACTTTTCTCTTATAGGCAGGAGTGAAAGGAAGAGAAAAAGTCATCAGTAAAGAAACAGATCAATTTACATTAACATGTAATAATTCCATCTGAATAACACAAGCATTGCACATGTTATGAAGATTTATGCACATGTTACTATGATTTGTAGTTATATTTTATTGTATGTATTTGTAATATTATATAGAACATGTATTTTATTTTAGAACAGTATTTTTCTTTTTCGTCGAGCCTGCGATTTTGTCGCAGAAAGCTCGACATAGGGATAGTGATCAGGCGGAGGCGGTGGCATCGTTAGCTAACTTCTTAAAAGCTTTATATTTTAGAAGGTGGAAGACCTGGATGCTTCATACTTTGTATACAGATGCCTCATGTTACGATGTTTCCGTGTGTCACATTTCCATTGACCTTGACCTCATTTTCATGGTTCAGTGACTACTTGATAAAAGTTAAGATTTTTTGTTATGTTAATTTCTCTCTTATTAAGAGTAAAAGGGTTAACTATATTTGGTATGTGCGTACCTTGCAAGGTCCTCATGACTGTCAGACAGTTTTCACTTGACCTCGACCTCATTTCTTGGATCAGTGAACAAGGTTAAGGTTTGGTGGTCAAGTCCATATCACAGATACTATAAGCAATAGGTCTTGTATATTTGGTGTACAGAAGGACTGTAAGGTGTACATGTCCAACTGGCAGGTGTCATCTGGCCTTGACCTCATTTTCATGGTTCAGTGGTAAGTTAAGTTTTTGTTTTGGTCTGTTTTTCTTATACTGTTTGCAATAAGTCTACTATATTTGGTGTATGGAATGATTGTAAGGTGTACATGTCTAGCTGGCAGGTGTCATCTGACCTTGACTTCATTTTCATGGTTCAGGGGTGAAAGTTAAGTTTTTGAGTTGTGGTCTTTTTTTCTAATACTATATGCAATAAAGGTCAACTATATTTGGTGTATGGAAATATTTTATGATGTACATGTCAGTCTCGCAAGTTTTATTTGACCTTGACCTCATTTTCACAGTTCATTGCTCAGTGTTAAGTTTTTGTGTTTTGGTCTGTTTTTCTTAAACTATAAGCAATAGGTCAACTATATTTGTTGTATGGAAGAATTGTAAGCTGTATATGTCTGCCTGGCATGGTGCATCTGACCTTGACCTCGTTTTCATGGTTCATTGGTCAATGTTTAGTTTTCTTGGTTAAGTCTATTTCTTAGAAACTATAAGCAATAGGTCAACTATATTTAGTGTATTGAATGATTGTAAGGTATACATGTATTTCTTGTTTGGTTTATATGACCTTGACCTCATTTTCTTGGTTAATGTTAAGTTTATGTGATAGTGGTAGTAAAGCTTTATATTTAGGACTATCAACATAACATCAATAATTAGTAAAGAAGGCGAGACATTTCAGCGTGTGCATAAAGTTTCTTCCATGTTTTCTGTGACAAAAACAAAATTGTGCAAATTAGGAAAATGAAATGAGGCTACATTATTGAATATTTTTGAGTTTGAGTTTTTTTCTTTTTATTCCTATTTTAAAATTTCATTGGCATTTGAAGTAATGAGTTAAAACTAGTTTTTATCAATCATTTTGTTTTCAAGATGTACAAACAGTACAGTAGGTTAAGGTTTTGTGTACAATAGTTTACTATGATGTTATAGTCAAATAAACTTGAAACTTTGTACATTCAAGTGTTCATTATGAAGTCATTGATTTTTTAAGTAATTACAAATAAGTTACTGAATATGGAAATCTGATTGTGGAAGCAGGGTATAATGTGTTCTGGAAACACATCTCAATCCCATAGAGCACCGCCCTCCTCACCAGCCTCTCAGTAATGGAATATTGACTTTGAAAATTTCCTTAGTTTACACTGTAAGATTTGTAAGAAGTTCAGTTTAAGGAGAACCACTATAAGTAGGTCAGGGATATTTTATATGCAGTTGAAAAAGCCTTTGGGCAATACATGTGCTTGGGGATTTTTTTATCCTGAATCCTAAATCATGGTTTTATAACTTAGAATCTTTTGCAGTTTATATGGAAAGTTTATGCTTAGGCCAGTTTAAAATCGACCACTTATAAGAGGAGGATTTAGAGGAGGCCTAAGCCCCCCTTTTTGTGGGACAAATTTGGTTGATATTATATTTAGGAAATTACTAAAGCATGACAAAAGAGATGCAGTAGAGAGCAACCTTAATATTTCTTAGAAAATACTTTTTTCAGACCTGTAATGAAAAGTATGGTTATAAACAAAATACATATTTTTTTCAGTTAGAAACATATTTTTTATGAATCAAAATTTTAACAAATGTTGGAAACAAATTTACTTAAAAACTTTCTAAATGTATCAAAATTCTGTATTGTAATATCTTATAGATTTTGTTTTTTCAGGATTTTTCCCAATATGTTTAAGAAATCTGTAGCATATAATTTTAAAAATTTGCTTGCAGATTTTATTTCGGGATTTTTCCCGAAATGGGTAAAAAAAATCTATGTAACAAGTGTGTGCCTGATAATAGATTTATATTTTCGGGATTTTTCCCGAAATGTGAAAAGAAATTATTAGTCATTAGTCCTAGCATATACGTTCTGTTTTCGGGATAAATCCCAAAATATTCGAAGACATCTGTGTTATACATTTTCCACTTAGTTTATTTTTGTCGGGATTTTTCCCGAAATGTGTTTCAGATCTGTTTGTCAACATTCTTTGCCAACATATATGTTATAAATAATAATGTTGAAAATGATTATGGGACATTTCCCGAAAAGTTGTCACATACATCTTTACCACAAATTTTTAAAAACTTTCATATATTTTGGGAAATTTCACGAACATTAAACGTAAATTTTATCAATTATAAGAATAAAAACATGGAATATTGTAAAATATGTGTGTTTCTTTATGAAATCTGCATTCAATTTATGGTAAACATTGAAAAAGATTATAGAAAGGAATAAAATGGATTTTACTCCTTTAAAATAGATTCAGTTGTTGTATTTTGTGTACTGGTGTTTGTCTTTTGGTTATTTTCTAAATTTTGGCCAAGGCGTTGTTAGTTTGTTTTTTTTTTCGCCTTATGAGTTTGAATGACCCTTTGGTATTTTTCACATCTAAATGTTATAAAGAAAAATGATACTGTTTTTCATGAACAGCATTTGCACTTAAACATGAACTTTTTATATTTACCTATCAATATTTGCATTTTTTGTATATTATAGATTACAAGACAAATAGCAATTTCAGTTTGGAAGTTTCGTTTGGAGAGAATTCAACATTAATTTCATTTTCATTAACAATTACAGCACGTCCACTTGCAGATACCGTAGAATTCGTAGTGAACGATAGAGCAATTGATTCCATTCGTTTATACAATCAAAAATGCTATCACAAAAAAGGCGAATGTGCAGAAATTAATTGCCGGTGTTTTAACAAAGATAATTCGTTTATCTTTATTTACAAGCATCATACTATTCTATCGGACGAATCTTGCATATATGGATTTATATTTGTTATCAAAGACATACAGGAGCAGACGATAACATTAACAAGGAATTTCAACGGAAAACGTACGTATGCAATGCTTAATATTTTGTTGCTTCGAAAGATATCAGTTTTGTCTCTAAATTTAATAGCATAAGCCTTCTGATAAGGAATCAGGTATTGACAATTAAGTTTGAAAGACATTTTCCAAAGATAGAATTCAGAACAGACATACGTGTGAATCTTGTCTACGTTGTTTTGTAATTTCAACTAAAAATAAATCTCAACACGCTTACATTTCATACATTGTCCTAGATAAGCAAATTAAATAAAGGGGCAAATCTGACACATTGATAACCACAGCACTTTGGCCTTTGCAACAACAACAAAAAGATAAACAATACGATTGATAGGCACTTAATCGAAAACAAAAGATTGTGTGTTGTTTATGGTTGATAAATACTTATTGGCGATGTCACAAAAAGAGAAAACTGTCGTAGCGTGACTTATATATTGACATTGACAATAAGTGTCTGATTAAAATTAACTTTATGATTAATGGGATTATTTCAGCATTCTAACTGTGATTTTTTTTAAATGAGGTAACAATCCAAATGAGACATTTTTTTGTCATATCTCCCATGTATTCCTGTCTTTGTGCGTCTTTTATTACTTACTCGAGAGATGATTGCTTCATTTTTAAGGAAGTGATTGACCATGCGGTAATTTATTTTTAAAGTTAACAAACCCTAACTATTTTTTGGTTGACTACGAAAAAGAATCTGTGCCAACAATGACCACGGATATATTACAATTGTCAAAAACATTATTTTATACTCTTATTTGCAGTTCTGATATCACTGAATGTGAAATATCATGTCATGCGGAGATTGGCGGATGACACAGTTTGTTTATAATTCTCAAATATTTCTATTTAACACACTGAGATATGGTACATGTATGATACGTGTGGCTCAGTCGTTAGATTTTCTTTGTTATGTTTTTGCAGGGTAAGCTATTGTTTGTCGTCGTATTTTATTTCTTTCGTTATAGATTCGTCTTTTTCTTTTCTTTTTTTTCATTTTTCTTATGGTATACGCGGTCATGTTCAATGTATATATTTTATAATTGTTAAATGTATACTTTACAAAGTGAATGAATGTAATGCGGCAAAATAATTTACAGGCAAATTTAGATTTAAATGTTAAGATACACTGCAGGATCTCCACGTGTTCGCTTTTAAGCTACATGTATGATATTCCTAGAAGTTTAAATGAGGTAAGATAAATGTATATACATTGATTCGTATTGGAAAAATATGATGAATACTATAAGGTTAAAGTATAATGTTGACTAATTATTGTATTTTATTTAGATTTTGGGTCTCTCCAAATCCATGCAGAGCTACACAATCCTGTTGACACGATCTATGTAAATAAAGGTAAGGTACATACATTGTTTCATACCGGTATCTGTTTCGTTCTGTTTAAGGCGATAATTTAAGTCAGAAACAACATGCTACTTCATCTTTTGATATTTTCTCAATTGCACTTTGAATTATAAAATGAAGAATGGCGTCGTTCAAACATAAAAGTCTTGTTAATAATTGTTCAGAAACACAAAACGAGAAAAGACTTTCTTGAATTTAAAACATGTACCGTATAGTGAACAATAAAAGAGTCATGAAATAATTGAATATGCGACAACAATAGAACAACACACTGAATCACGCAGACATACTCTTACTTGAAACAGTGACGTAAAACACAACATAAGAGTATACTGTAATGAGCAGTTGAAAAAGGAAATACTCATCTCATCAGCATTATAAAAGGAAATACGTTGACAAAAACACATATATAGTAACAGTTTTTTTTCATTGACACAAACACATGAACTATTTCCAAACTTTTGCTGTCAACAAATTTTAAATGCTGTGTTCAAAATATAAAACCTTATAGTTTTTGCCTTGCACAATTATGGTATGTGCAAAGATACGGTATATCCTTTCATTGTTGACATTTAAAATTAGCATGTTATTTCCAGAGATTTAAGATATATGATGAATTGATTGTCCTTGACCATTTTTAGGTCTAAAGACTGATTTAACAAGTACAACATTCAGCTTATTGCTGATTTTCTACTACTGCTGTTAATTGTTAGAATACATCATGGTAAGAGATTTATATCGTCATATTTAAATAATGCTGTAAGTTCAGTACCTTTTTCAAAAAAGAGAAGTCACAATAATTTCATGTCATATGATATATAAGATAGCAACATTATTTGATAATAATGAACACATATTTCAAAAATCAACCTGTTAAAGATAAAAACACTTTTAAGCCTGGTTACTCTGTAACGTCGTTTCAGTCTTGCTCTCCTCAATGGACCAAGTGTTTGAAGGTCACAGGAGTGCAGGCGATATCGGACAGTTTGGTCTGAAATTGTGTTGTTGGATCCATGTATACGCCTGCAGGCTGTCGCTACTGCAGTAACGAAGATCTTACGAATTTAACTTTCCCGACGTACCGTCGTCGCTCCAGATAACGCAGAGAATCAGATGGTGTGACTGTGTCCTTCATACATACAAATTTTCTTTTAATTATCATTCTGTGTGATTTGAATTGGTAGCAAAAGCAGTCTGTGACATTTCTTCTTGCACCATCCCAATGATCCTTTCCGTCTTATCTTGTCGTAGACTATGTATTGACTTACGTGTAAAATTCATCATTTTTAAATTCATCATTTGTTTACTGATTTAATCGACACAATGCTTGACCTTCACATTGGGATGAAGCTGTATTTAGAAATTAGAAAAAAACGTTAATACGGGAAAAAGTTACAATATTCCAAAACATATTCAAACGACCAAAATCGTTAATAGTACATCATATTTTTAAATGTTTAGACACTAGATGAATTCACTATTCACGAAGTTTTCCAAATTTAATAAAATATTATCTAACTTTCTCAGTTTTCAAATTTTTTTTTGCTTTTTGCCTAATATTTTTCTAGGTAATCATTGTTCCTAATCTGATATTTCTAAACACAAGATGAGATATATTGTCTTATGAGATAACTACCCATGAATGACAAAATAACTTGAATGCTAACATCTATTAGTAACTTTTCCTGACCTATACATTTCTAGGAATATGGTTGGTTAAAAACAAACGCGTGGAGACCGTGTATATTTTATACGGAGTTAGAAGGCGTAGTCTATTTGTTCAATGCACGATAAGAAGAAGGGTTGCGTCCGTATGTAAAAACAGCACAGAGTTTATGAAAAATCAGATGAGTAAACGATTAATACGGTGCTTTTGGTCCAGGATTTGCTTTTTGTACGCTTTTGCTTTTTGTCCGATAATTTAGCTGTTTGACCGACAATTTTGCTCTTTGTCCGTTGGTTTCGGTCCTTTTTTCCTTTGTGTACGTTTTTGCATTTTGTCCGATAATTTTGCTTTTTGACCTACAATTTTGCTCTTTGTCTGTTGCTTTCTGTCCTTATTTATGTTTTGTCCGATAACTTTGCTTTTTGTTCGACACTTTTGCTTTTTGTCCGGTGCTTTCGGAAGCTTTTTTTTTTGTCCGACGCTTTTACTTTTTTTTTTCTGTAGCTTTCTGTCCGACACTTTTGCTTTTTTCCGTTTCTTTGTGTCCGATGATTCTGCTTTATATTCATTTTAAAATGTGCATATTTTTGTAGGTTCTATTTGAACCTCGATACCCAATGACACATTTGAAATAAATGCAAACCGTTTTCCTCTAGTCCAGTCGAGTTGTCTAACAATTGTTCAGATTGTGGTAAAAGCATCAAACTTTGCAGAGTTTTAGTTAAGGTAATAACAAACATTTATAGCTATGGACCCAATTCAGAAAATTAACATGGCTGATCTGGGTGGGCATGTTAAAATGGCCGCAATAAAATCAATAGAAATCTTTTGAGAAAAATTATAAAAAATAAATGGCATTACAAATTTTGATAATATGTGTTACATAAATCACTAATGACAAAGACTATCATCTGAGGACTTCATATATGTAAGTGCTGGTGGCGATCTTGAATGATGGCCATTTCTAACACAAGAATTTTCAATATCACATTATTTGCCTTTTTTGATAATTTGCTTTTTGCATTTATACTAATGTTATGATGCATTTACAACTCGTTTGTTTTACAGATCATTGTTATATGACTGTTGCTTTTTATATTGGATATTCAAAAAGTGTTCAAATCAGGCATACACATGTTGACAAAATAAATGTATCTTATACTAGTACATACGTACATTTACTAACAAGATTGCTTAAGTACCTGTAAACCACAGAAAATTACATATATACAATAATTTATGACAACGCTTTATCAAAAAGGATAAAAATTGTAGATATTGAAATCACCAATGTAATTAAAATAATAGAACTATGATCTCGTTATACTCAATATGAGCTCATATTGGAGTATAACGAACAGAGTTCTATATTCTAAAAGGATTGTGAAATCCTCGAGTGAAATCACTGGAGCTGAAAAATCTAATTTACAAATAAACTGGAAAGAATTGTGAAACGCCAAAAGTGGACTCGTGAGGATTTCAATTCCTGGCAGATTCCAAACAGACATTAGAACTGGTTATCAGTCCTTTGATGCTAGCATATACATATGCTGTGTATTGAATTACTTTCTTGCATCACTCCAGCATCACATGGCAAAATGTTACTAATGCTGTCAAGATACATTTTCAGATCTCAAAATATTTAGTCAGGAAAAACGAAAACATATTTATGAAGTCGGAGATGAGTTACCGATTAAAAATACCTGTAAAATAACCAGACACTGGTGTGGTGAATAAAGAAGGACAATGACTGCATGGAGTTTTTTTTTTTTTTTGTTATGATCCATCTGACGATCTTCATAAAGCATCGATAAAAGAGTATGTGAATGACTGTGCACTCATACTACCAGTGTTCTATTATCCAAACACAGGAGTTGCGGTATCATGCTAAATGTTTGTTAAAACTGAATCAAAGGACTGACTACAAGCTCAAATGTGTATGTCTTGGTTTGTTTTTTTGGCAACTGCTTGTCATTGTAAATCCTCGTGTGTCCTCGTCGTTTTATACATTATCTTTAGACCATTTTCTCATTAAATTATTCAGCTCCAGTGTTTTCGATATCTACAATTTTGATCCTTTTCGACAAAGTTCGGTCATAAATCAAATTATATATATATATATATATATATATATATATATATATACGTAATTTCTGTAGTACATGTAAAACGTTACTTAGACAAACCTGTAAGTATAAGACATTTTGAATCAGATCCCTCTATTTCGTAAACATGTGGCTGCCTTATGTGTCCACTTGGTGAATATCAAATATAAATAACAACAGTCATATAGGAATAATTTTGCTAAACTAGTTGTAAATTTAAAAAAAGATGAGTATAACCATGATACATGCAAATAGCAAAATTATGATGCAAAAAACGTATAATGATATATTGGAAATTCTTGTTTTCAAAATGGCCACATTTCAAGATGACTACCAGTACTTCAACATATGAAGTCCTCAGATGGTAGATAGTGTGATTTGTGATGCATACACCATGTGTTATCAAAATTAGTAGAGCTATTTTTTTTTATTTATTTTTAAAACTTTTTTTTTCAATTTCCTGGCAGCCATTAAAAATACCGCCAGATGCAGACCGTTTCTGATTTTCTGAAATATTTTAAATGTGTTCATTGCTATACATATTTGCTTTGACACTATAAGTGTTAATTTCTGTGTCATTTGGTCTCTTGTGGAGAATTGTCTCATTGGCAATCATACCACATCTTCTTTTTTATACTTAACTAAAAGTCTGCAAAGTTTAGGCTATTTTTCCACCATTTAAATAATTCTTTCAAAAATCGACTGGACTATATGGAAACCCTTAAGTACATCGCTGCAGCAAGCTTATGAGTCATTCACTAAATTTAATAAAATGTGAATGTAAAAGGATAAACAGTTGCCGAAGACGATGCAAATGTTTAAAAGCAGTATTAAGTTGTACTATTCTGTGTGAATGTGGAGGAAAAGGATATTATAGACAGAGACAGCTATTGTGTGGTTTGACAGGATGTACAACTCATTCATTATGTTATACTTTTAACGTCAATAAACAACATTTGAGCAGACAATTTCCTTACTTGCATGATGTGATAATCATTATGTCTGCCATGCAGGTTTTTTGAAATTTGATTTCATATAAACATTATCAATCAAATTATTTATTTTCATAAAACTATGACATGTATGAATTTGGAGATCTACCTATTTTGGCTGAACTTTGAATTTCAAGATTTTTTCAAGATGGCCGCCTTCAATGCGGGTAACATTTTAATACATTTTGTTCAACAGGGCAATTGGTATAAGCACTGTAACTCTACCAGGTGTCATGTTAATATCTTTACTAATAGTTATCGAAGGTATCAGGCTTATAATTTGATTCACCAGACGCGCGTTTCGTCTACATAAGACTCGTTAGTGACGATCAGATCAAAATAATTAAAAAACCAAACAAGTATAAAGTTGAAGGGCATTGAGAACCAAAAATTCCAAAAAGTTGATCAAAATACAGCTAAGGTAATATATACCTAGGCTAAAAAAATCCTAAGTATTTCGAATAATTCATAATTTTGCAAACAGTAAATTTATAAAAATGACCATATAAATGAAATGCTGACTACTGGGCTGGTGATACCCTCGGGGACGCAACGTTCACCAGCAGCGGCATCGACCAAGTGGAGTAAATAGTAATCGAAGCTAATATAATATTCATGATTTTTTTTTTAGTATTTTATAGAATCAAAACAACCGCCATCGTAAAAATGGCCGCCTTTCCCACCAATTTCGACTTTCAGAGTGGGTCCATAGCTTAAAAGGTTTTCCATGACCTTTACTACTATTATGCCAAATTTTATGCTTGTACCGCAATCTGAACAATTCCGCTAAAAATCTGCTCAAATCAACCGGACTACTTTAAATGAGTGGTACAAAAAGTATCTAGTTTTTTTTTTTAAACTTTTTACCGTTGGTAAAGCCAAGCATGTTTTAATTAACCGTACGATTCGGTT